AAATATCGAATTTAATGTGAAACATTCAATTAATATAACCATCAAAGATTGTAGATGGTCATTGGAAGGGAATCAATTAATATTGTTGGGCCTAATAAGGTATTGGGTATGAAGGTGACACCATATGCATGAATAATGCATTCAAATAAATGAATGTAATAATAACAATTATTTCTAATTTAAGTTTATAGAGACAGAGAGAGAGACTTGGGATCATGTGAGACCAAATATTTTTCATGAGATCCGTAAGACCAATTTTCAATCCTTGGATTAGATCTACAATATGAACATTCATAATCACAAAATTGTCACCAGGGCCAGTCCTAAGATTTTTGATGTCCTGTGCGAAAATAATAAAATATGCCTCTAACCCTATTTTTTAAGTCAATAAAACAACGAAACATGCGATTTTTTTAAAGAATTTAGAACCTATTCAAACAAAGTATCTCATCCTCATGTTGATTTTTATTAATTATAATAATAAAAAAAAATACAATGAGAAGAACATAAAAACCAAAACCCTGAATACAAAATATAAATGATAAATCCTGGATTAAGATCATACTTCCTTCTTTTCCAGTTTTACCTTTTCCAAATTAAAATTAGCAAAATAGAAACTTTATTTCAATATATGGGACTTAAAAGACAAGAAAAACCATAATTAGTTTTTAACTAAGATAGTAAATTACATCCAAATTATTGTCATAGTATGCAAAAAGTAAAAAACTCAAAAGTTACAGGTCTAATGACTAAAGGCTAAGGGTCTATCTGTTAGCAACTTAATAAGTTTAATGGATCTAACAGCTTATTCGCTCAACTATGCATGACTGTTTTCGTTGTGTCTTAATGATATAGAAAGTGACTTATCCAATAAGCTTTTAGGAGGAGCTTTATATAGGAAGGCAAATTTTTTTTTCCAAACATGTCCTTTTCAACTAAAAAAACGCTCCTTACGTTTGTGAAAAAACTCTCTCAAACAAAAACTTTTCCAACTTATACAAACAAAAACTTTTCCAACTTTCCAACTTTTTCCAACGATGTGCATTCAGTATTCATCACTACTAGGCCTTGGGYCTRTTTTTATAGTTAAAGCTCAGTTGCTCAATTACCAAATTATTAAACCTAAAACTAGTAATAAATGACAACTTGATGCCCCTTTAGGCTTTGATGCCCTGTGCGACCGCACATGCTGCACGTGGCCAGGGCCGGCCCTGATTGTCACGAGACTTCTCAATAATCACAAAATTGTCACCGTACAACTTTAGACCATTAGCTTATAAAGTTGATCAATGAACATAAATTGGTCTTACGGGTTTCACGTGAACCCACCTAATATTTTTGAATTTGATTTTTTTAATGGTGTCAAATCTGTATAAAATAAAACCAATTATTATATCTTATATTAACTTAAGTTGGTTGGTACCACCTTACCAGGTTTGTAAATCTGGTTGGTACGTGATACTAGATATCCTGCATAGTAGGACTATCGTATTAGATTTTGAAAACACAATATCAAAATTACTTGGATAATTCAAGCATTGTGTATAAAATATTTTTCAAAATATGTGATTTCTACCCTATTGCCTGTGGTATCACGAAACCAGATTTGGGATAATCTAAGAACAACAAATATGGATTTCATGCAAAATCTAATATCACAAACATAGAACACATTGCTTGTTTAATTATGTTCCTTTAGAGACAAAATCCGTCAGAGCAACAATATATACGAAGAAGATAATATGCAATTACCGAATGAAGCCTTATATAGCCACAGGCGGTTAAGTCAGCTATAAGTACTGCCCCTTGGTACCAATTAAATTGGTGTCAAGTATAATTGATTAATATATTGTATAAAAAATTTCGTATTAATTATTATTGGTTGATATAAGATATAAAAAAAACATGGTGCTATTTAAAAAAATGCTTACTAAAATACCTGATGTTAACATAATATATATAAAAACGTTTATCAAAATATATTTTTTCTGAACTACAGATTATTACAGAATTTTTTTCTTCCTCTGAAATACGTATATTTAAAATAGAGGGAGGGTCAAACCAGAATGATAAATATTTAAAAGAATAAGAGAAGAATTTTGGGCCAATCATTTTATTAAATAATACCTTAAACAAAACTTTCTTAAAAATCGTAATGTCATTTGTTGTATACAGATTATATTTTTAAATTCATATATCTATACTATCTTATAAAGCATTTGGCTAAAACTCTTAAACCTGTTCATCCCTAAACGATTTCATCCCTATTCAATTTCATCTCATATCTGAATTCGTGTAACTAATTGCAGATAAACACAATGAAATACAGGATAAACATCTCATTTTAAATATAAAAAATCTAAAATATAATTAGTATAATCATTAAATTCTAACAGAATACTTAATTATTATCTTTATAAAATTTATAATATTAAACCAAAAATAATTTTTTTTATTATTAAACTT